CAGCCGTACTTAAGCCACACGCCGGGAGGTTAGTAGTTGGGTGGGTGACCACCAGCGAATCCCTTCTGTTGTATGTTTTTGCTTAGCATTTTTGTCTGCATTACAACTGTAGTCAATCGGAGGGTACCTATGATCGAGAATCCCAAGGGAAGGAAGACCCAGGGAACGCCTCCTTAACCATAATATACACACAGTCACAAAACCCATCAACGATCTGCCTTTAGCGCTCACATTGGAACGATCAATGTATTCAAGATACCGGCATCGAAGCCGGTGTCGGGGTTATACATGTATACCTTTCTGCTTGAAGTCCAGCTCTCACCCCACCGGCTCATCACTGATCAAAACACTAGGTGGCGAGCAACTGGGTCTATACCTATCTCCCGAACAAACCCTAAACCTCACAAGCCGGAATCGCCCCGGAATGAAACGCAAACAGCGGCTGCGAGCCTGACGCCACCGTCCAGCTCTCCACCAGCTCATTGCTGTTCAGCGTCTCGATCGTACATTCATCCACTGCGCCCACGTACAGAAACTGTGTTGCGCGTAAAGTACGTGTTAGCGGGTCTCTGCCGTGCAGTCATGACACCAGGGGTAGCTGATACTCACATTCGGTTGCCAGGCGTCCGTCAGCAGGATACTATCCGGGTCCACGGGGAGACGGGCCACCAATGCGCTGAAATCACCCGCGCTGACGCCCGGTTTGGCGAGCAGGCCGATAGGCGTCGACGTCGCTGTCGCGGTGCAGGAGGTCGTGCTGGTTGCGGAGGGGGTGGTGGTTGCGGTGGCGAGGGTGGTGGGCGCGAGGGTGGTCGAGGCGCCGGTGTCGGGGCCTGTGCCGCCGCCGCTGCTTCCGGAGCCGTGGAAAAATTCCCAGATGGTCGCCAGGGCTAGGACTGGGGGATTATGTTAGAGACACATGGCATGCGAGGAGGGGAGAACACAGAGGGAGACAAGTACAGAATCCACTAGCGACAGTGAGAGTCGCGCCGACACCGATGAGGTCGAGCTATATACATGGGTCAGTCAGCATTTGGCCAATATGGAAAAAGAAAAAAAAAAAAAAAAGAGATATACTGGGGATCAGGGCTGTCATACCGCCGTCTCGGCTTCGGCCGCAGCAGCCACAGCATCAACCTCGGGTTGTGCATTATTCGCGGCAGCATCCTGGAGTTTGGCCACGGCCCCTTTGACAGTGGTCCACACGTTCCCCAGCAGCCGGGCCATGTTGGACGCGGTGATACCCCACTCCTCGAAGACCGTTTCGGGGACCTGCAATCCCCAACACTCAGTACGCAATGCCAAATCAACCGGGGAATCAAAAAGCTCACCGTCTCCGTCCCAAACGCATCCCGCTGTCTCCCAATCGTGAGCCTCCGATCCCCCAGCGCTTGAGTCCTCGCTACACACACACCACACCACATAATTAGCCCTTCATTAACCAAGATCGAGATCGCAAGGGAAGAGAACACAACATACCGGTATTAGCCTGCGCCTCCTCGATCTTCCTCTGATCCCCCATCAATGTCATCTCAAACTCATTCAGCGTCGCTGCATCTCGCTTTCTCGTCGTCGATGTCGACGAAAGATACGCCGCGAGCTCATCCATGTGAGCCTTATAGTCCGCAATGACCTGGCGTGCATCTGCAACAGTAGCATTATATTGCTGCACCGCGTCCGCCAGCTCGGCGAGGGTGGGACTGCTCCAGGACGCATCCTCGTAGACCTGGATGCGGCCGCCGTCGCCGCAGAGCTCCGTGGGGTTGCCCGCACACGGGGTGTTGCAGTCGCCCGTGGCGTATTGGTCCGGGCCGTGGAGGGTGTTTCCGACGAAGCATTGGCTTTCGAGTTCGATTTGTGGTTAGCTTGGAGGGGTTTCTGAGGGGAGAAGGGATATGGGTGGCTTGGTTAGTAGGGGGCGTGGGACTCACCTCCCGAATTCGACACCGGCGTAGCGCCAGTAGCTGGCTTGGGCGAGGGCTATGCATTTTTCAACGGTCATGCCGTCGGCGCTGCCGTCTTCGCTGGAGTCGGCGACGAGGAGGCGGGCGTCGGCGGAGTCAGCATAGCAGCCGTTGAATGTGAAGGTGTCGAGTTGGGGGGTGAGGGTGGGGGTGGGGGGGTCGGATGAGGTAGCTGGTGAAGAGGTGGATGAGGAGGAGGAGGAGGAGGAGGAGGAGGAAGAGGAAGAGGAAATTGAGGGAGCAGCAGAAGTAACAGCAGAGGTAACAGCAGAGGTAGCAGAAGCTGCACTAGTTACAGCACTGGTTGTCGGCGAGATACAGCTATCGGTCCCACAGCTATCTCCCACGGGACACGCATTGCACAGATCCACTTCGAACACACATTCAACACCCGGCCAGCTACAGCATTGTGTCCCAGCAGGATAGGCATTACCATGGCTAGAAGAGGGTTTTGTCAGCAATATGATTCACAAAGACGTGGCGGAACTCTGAGGGTTCTACATACCAGCAAATCGAAGTCACGGAGTTCACCCCATACAGTGCCCACGAATCGTTGCCCAGGCTTTTAACAGCGCAGTACCTCCAGTTGGTCGTCGTGCAGAATTGTACCCCCTCAAAACTCTGGCACTCAGTCCCTGCCGCACAGTTCATGGAACAGGAGGTGGGATCACACAGCCAGCCATCCGGACAGGAGGGATCCGACGAAACCGAGTCACGGATGGAGAGGTGGCTACCCGTGGCTGAGGGCAGGATGACTGGGATCGTAGTAACCACGACTGTCGCAGTTTGAGTCGGAATTTGGTCTGCGATGGTGCCAGAGATAGCGGTAGCTATGGCAAGCAAGACCCAAGCCCTAAGTCGTGCTGCCATGGTGTGTTGCCCAAGCAAGGTGGTGAATCGAGAGGTTTGATGATGGCTTGAAACTCAACTAGGAGAAGATGAGTGGGCTTATATACACTGCATTGTTCTCTGAATCGGAAAGCAACATAGTATTACAATCATGACCAATCTCTGAAAAGCATAGCTTCCCATTCCAAAAAATCCCCGCATTTATGTCTCACTTCCAGGAAGGGCTCCTCGTGTTCCTGCGCGTACTGGCGGACTAGTGCGCGCTTTCAATCTCATCCCGAACTCAGGGCTGCGGCCTTGCTGACATCAACATCAGCGATAGCCTACAAACGCAACCGGAAAAAAAGATACTTAATGTCAAATCATCCAGGCGCAGAAGACTCGCTTGCAAATTGAAGAAAAAGCCATCCCAATTCCTGTTACCCAAGAGAACACACCAACCAAGATGCTCCTGCCACAAAAATCCCACCTCCTGCCCATTCTGCTCCTGCTCACAGCCCCCATCCTCGCGCTTCCCTCCCTTGAAGATGCCCGTGACCTACTCTTCCCCAACCTCCAACGCAAGTACGATGCTGTCGCGCACGCCCTCGCCCCCCGCGATACCCAAGACCTGTCCAACCCCTTCAACTGCACCACCGTCTGCGAAATCACCAACAGCAACCTCCGCGCCGGCCGAAACGCCTGCATCAACGTGAGCAACGGCGCCACGGGCGGTGGGGCCATCCTGCATATGGCGGGCTCGACGGTGACGGCGGGCAACAATATCAACATCAACCTGGACGACGCGAGCGCGAACCGGCTGGTCGTGCTGTGGCTGGAGAACGTGACCTTCGCGGCCGGAGGCACCATCAACGTGAACTTCGGGGAGAATGGGTGTCTGCTGACCGATGAGGACTGTGAGGTGGTCATCTACATGAGCAATGTGACCTGGGTGGCGGGGAACACCACGCGGACGGTGGACACGTTTGCTTATTACTCGCGCTTGGACAAGGGGAAGTGAAAGATGAGAATGGGGACTGGGTCGGATCGGGCGAGCAATGTTTTGGAGGGGCCGCTATCTATTTCTTGGGTGAAGATTCTGGAGGTGGATCTATGTTTGGATTACAATTGACGATGAGATGATTGAGCAGGGCTTGGCTTGTAGATATAATTAAGGTTTCTCAGGGACAGACCCCGCCTGGTGGCGCGACTGAAAGGTCTCGGTGCACACCAGCAGATTAGCTGCAGAGGGAGAAGAATGCACACGAAGGAATTGTGGGCCAGGGAAGACACCAAGACCCTTGATACTAAAATACGAAACCTTATCAGGCAGTATGGGGGAACGTGCAGGGGGATTGATAAGGCTGCTGAAGAAAAGAGGCTGACAATAGATTGACGACCCGCACGGCTGGATGCAGGAACTGAAACCTGAACAATGCTATCTAGCGCTGAGCTGTCACGGGTGGTCAGAAACTCGTGCGTGAGCGGACTAGCGGACTAGCGGACTAGCGGCGGACTTCTCCGCGCAGGCGCCAAGGAATCCCGCTGGGCCCTAAGGGTCTATTGAAAATCGATCAAATCCTCTTATAAAAACGACCATGCCCCCACAAACAGAATATATATTACACTCCACACATTTCGGTACTCCATACGGCAGCCACACCGGTATCCATACCCCGATGCACCTCAGAACTCTCATTATATACACAGAAACTAACTAGACGAAAGATCGAAACCCGCCCCCCCCAAAAATGAAGCCCACCTCCCTCGCCAGCGTTTTCGCGCTGCTCGCAACCGCAGCCTTAGCCCTGCCGACCGAGACCGAAGAGAATCACCTCGAGGCCCGCGTGCTGCAACCGCAAGTGTACGGCCGCACCTGCTACTGCGGCGATAACTGCAACACCGTGTCCTGGCTGTATGCGTGGGAATGGAGCGACGGCGCCTGTTTCAACTTCTACACCGGCATGTCGGCCGCCTGGATCGATGCGGGATCCGCCTGCACCTTCTACAATGCGGCCAATTGCCAGGGCAGCTACATGGCGTCCTCGAGTACGTGTACGAATTCGAATGTGGGGTGGTTGTGGTCGGCGCGCTGTCGGCGGTAGTGTCGCTGCTGCTGGCTGGTTAAGTGTTCATGTGATGTTTTGGTGGTTTGGGGTGTGTTTCACACGCTCGAGAATAGTATGGAGGGGATTTTGTTTGATGCGCCCACGGGCTTCTACAGTATTCTTGGTTGGTCCTCGTTTTAACTAGTTGGGGCCCGGATTCTATCGAATACACATTGATCTGACATTCAAATATACGGTGCGCAAGTTGTAGTTCTCTTACCCAGATAAGATAAATACATACGACCACAGGGTGTGGAAAACAGGGCTTCCCGTCCGCTCAGCCGTACTTAAGCCACACGCCGGAAAAAAAAAACCCGACTAATCCCAAACGCAGCATGCTGGTCGGGCACCACATCGTCCTCGTCCTCCGGATTCGGCGGCTGGAACTGCGGCGCGACGTAGATCTCCTCGATCGGGAGGTAGGACGGGTTCGCGCCGGGAGGCACGTTCGTGTTGGCGTTGGCGGCTGCGGCTGCGGCTGCGGCTGCGGCCGCGGCGATGGAGTAGCTGTTGGAGGCGAGGTTGGTCGAGGAGGAGGAGGCGGCGAGGAGCAGGGAGGAGGAGGCGGAGGAGGCGGCAGCTGCGGTGTGCGTGTGTGGGCGCGCGAAGTCTTCGAAGTAGTCGGCCAGGCGGGGGTGGTGCATGTGGATTTGGTGCGGGGTGGAGTCTTTGCTCTTTTAGGCGGGGGGGGGGTTAGTATTGGTGTTTGTATGAGGGGGATGGGAGGACAGGGGAGGGAGGTACCATTTTGGTTTGGTTCTTCGGGTGTAGCTTTGTGTGGTGGTGGGTTTTGGGTTTGGGGATGGGATGTGAGGTTCGTTGAGATTGGTGAGGTTGGTGAGGTTGATATGATAGTGATTGATCGCCGAGAAGGTGAGAAGGTGAGAGAGGGAAGGTATGATGTGGTTTGTGGTGATTTGTTTGAAGAATGGGATGCGATGGTGGTGGTGGTGGTGTTGGAGTTGGAGTTGGCGGAGATAAGAAAGGTTATCGGAGACAAGAGATGGGAACGAACTACAGTACGGAGACAGTGTACAGCAACAGCAACAGCAACAGCAACAGCAACAGCAACAGCAACAGCAACAGCAACAGCAACAGCAACAGCAACGGGACTACACTAGAGCAACTCTACTACTACTCTCTACGACCACAAGCCCCTACCAAACAATCTAATCAATTTTCTAATCATAATACATACTAGCATCCCACGCCCCCCATCACAAATTCGTGCTCATGCGATGCACAATCGGTACCGCACTCGGAGGCAAGCTGCCCATCTCGGTGACCACCATATCCACATACTCGGCTGGCGTGACATCGTACATGATGTTGAGCAGCTGCAGGTTGGCCGACTCCTTCCACCCCGTCAACGGCGACGAGACATTCTGCGCCAGCGTGTTCGACTCCGCCGCCGCATTGGCTGCCGCCGCTGCCGCTGCCGCCGCCGACTTCCCACCACCGCCGCCGCCCTTCTTCGCGTCCGCCGCGGAGACCGTCACCGCCGCCGGATCCGGCAGGCCGGTCAGCTGCTGCATGGGCTCGGCGGTGATCAGCTCGTCCGCGTCGGCGATCTCGTTGACGACGATACTGTCGAGCGCGACGCGGTCGGTGAACTTGACCGTCTCGCAGCAGACGATGACGGGCACCTCGACGCCGCCGGCGCGCTCCTTGGCGCTCATGGCGACCAGCGCGGTGCCGACGCGCGAGTACAGCCGGCCGTTGCTGGTCATGGCGTGCGCGCCCAGGAAGACCTTGCTGGCCGCCTTGATGGCGTGGCTGATGCCGTGCACGAGCGAGTACTGCACGTCCAGCCCGGCGTTGGCCAGCGTGCGCGCCAGGCTCTTGCCCTCGAACAGCGGCCGCGAGTCGATGATCGAGACCCGGAACTTCTTGCCCTGCTTGTGCGCCAGCAGCAGCGTCTGCTTGACGATCGAGCTGCCCGCGAACGTCACGATCACGTCCCCGTCCTGGATCTTCTGCGCCGCGCTGCTGGCGATGACCTGGTCCGCCACGGTGATCTTCTCGCGGATGAAGCTGTCGATGAACTCGCCCAGGAACGCCTTGGCCTCCGCCTCGGGCGTCGAGGGGTCGATGGACGAGATGGCCAGCTTGAGGGCGCGGATCGCATTACCCTGGCTGATCGACAGGGGCCGACAGGTCGACAGGTAGGTGATCTGGTGGGAGAGGTAGGTCGTCAAGTGACGAGGGAGGGAGGTTCCCATGGGCGTAGTGTACGCTTCGATGACCTGCAGCGGTCGGCGTCAGCAGTCAAAAACAGAATCAACTCCAGAGCATTAGTCCCAGCAAATAAGCCTCGCCCAACTCCCTATCCCAGACTATAACCCCGGTCCTGCCACAGCCAAGTCTAAAAAGAGAATAAAACTCACCCTCTTGAAAGCCAACAAAGTAGCCACACACCGCGCACTACTCCCACAAACCACATAATCCCTCATCTGCAACCCCAACGCCAACACAGCCGGATGCACCTCCTTGCCCGCCCCGGCGACCGTCGTCCGTCTCTGCTGCCCATAAAGATGTCCAAACACCGCCACATTCTTATCATCAGCCTTCTTACCACCCTTACTCTCCCCACCACCACCACCGCCAGCACTCTTCTCCAACCCCCCAGCCGGCACCGCACCAGAGACACTACCTCCCCCACCATTCTGCGAGGCATTCTGCGCGGATCCCCGACGAGGCACCTGTTTCGATCCAGAAGCACCAGCAGCCGATCCGCCGCCGCCGCTGCCATCCTTCTTACCGGGCGTGGCGGCACCACCAGACGGAGCTCCCCCGGCGGGGCCGGAGGACTCGCGTTCGGCGCGTTCGCGGGCCCGGCGCGCGGCCTTTTCGGCCTTGGCTCGCTTTTTCAGTTCGGCGGGGGTCAGTTGGGCGGTTGCGCTGTCGGCGGGGGCAGCGGGAGCGCTGGTGGCAGCGGTGGCGGCATCTTTGGATTTGGTGGCCGACTTGGAGGGCTTTTGTGATTGGGAGGACGGTTGCTGCTTCGTGGGTTTCGAGGAGGTGGATGCGGTGGAGGGGGTGGACGTGGTGGACGTGGTGGGAGTAGCAGCTGCTGCTGCTGCAGGTGAGGGGGAGGGCGCGGTCGGAGTTGAGCTCGTCATTTCGCCGGTCGTGGGCGTGGTCGTCGCGGTCGCGGTCGCGGAGACAGGGGATTGCGAGGAACTGTTGTTGGTGTGCGCTGACAGGATCGGGGTGGTCATCAACAGGAGAGATTTCCAGAAAGGATGACGGCCGGCGCGACAAGCATTGAGGTGAGACCAGAGAGATTGAGAATCAGGTTCCAGTTGTTGCGGGCGACTTTTTCGGAGCGGATTGGGAAACGGAATGTGGGGAATCAGAAAAGGGCTTGAGTCACGAGTTTGGTTTCCGCGTCGGATAAAGAAACCCTCCATCTGGACGGATTATTCGTTACTCCAAGTAGGACAGACTGACTTCACATTATTTCTTACTGTCCTCCGTAAGAGGTCCTTCTTCCTTCGTCAGAGTAACACTCGGCTCTTATATGCCGTCATTCCATTCAACTCATTCGGGCATCAAAACATTTCATCGTGGCGCGGTCTGGCGGGCATCTCCTCGAAGATCCTACCATACATACAAATCGTTCCATCGTGGCATCAGTACATGAGTTCAAACAGCAAACGAATCACAGCACGCCAATAGCAAAGATAACCATCTCAGTCCAGCTATTATAAGAACCGGAGGTCTTCGGAATCACACCATTTAGTCCAACACCAATCCGCATAACGCCGTCGAATCCCAGAAAGCCACCCCACGCTGCAGTCAAACATCTCCGACTATCGATTGTTGCCCCAGATGGCGCCTAAGGCTCGTCGGCTCTTTCGATCCTTTTTCGCCGGTTGAAGGGGTTGGAATCGTTCATGGTCCGTCGCCAACTTGCGTTTGAACACACTCAGGTCCTCCAACAGGTCTTCCATGTGTGCCTGCATCTGGTGCGCTTCCAGATGAGTCGAGTTCTCGTCACTCCCAGGGGTGCTTTCTTCTTTCCGTATCGAATTCGGCTCCGACTCGTCCCCGGATGTAGGGGCTGGAGACAGAGCCCGACTGTAGCGCTTTCGCGCGGACGGGGAGCCATCGTTTTGATTCACACTGTACAGGCTGCTCCGCCGCTCCGGCACAATCACCGGGGGGATGGGGTTCCGGATACTATCCAACGCCAATTTGAGATGGTTGCGAAGGGCCTCGTTCTCCGTCTGCAGCTGGCGGATCTTGCACTCGCTGACCATCTTGGTTTCCTCCATCAACCGTTGCATTTTCTCCACCTTTTGCTGGTATTCCTCGAGCCGCTCGTTCTGAATCTCGCTCTCCCGCCGGTTGGCGGTCGCTTGGCTAACACTCAGCTGCAACGTGCGGATGGTTTCGGCCATCTCAGCAATCTGCTTGTCGCGCTCCGCAGCAGACAGGTGGTCCTGGTTGACTCGGGCACGCGTGCGAATCCGCTTGGCCTGGTCGGCATACCGCAGCGTTGACAGCGTTTCTTCGTAGTCGGAGGGTGAGATGCACGCAATCATGGCGGTCTTGGAGTTGCCGCCGAGACTGTCTTTCAACAGCCAGGTGAGGATCGAATCTCGATAGGGGACGATGTCCTTGCCCTTACGCTTCGCTGGACGGCCCTGCTGCGGGTCAGCTAGGGCCGCAATCACCCGTCCCAGCGTCGTCAGCGATTTGTTGATATTGGATCCCTCCCGGAGACGCTGGCCGGTCGCCTCGGTGGACTTGGCTCGCTCCGAACCCGCCAGATCGACCAGACGGATCCGCGCCGTCCGCTCGGTAGTCTCGTCAGTCGACAAGTCATGGTGGATCTGCTTCAGCGTGATCGTGAAGACCGCATGCGACCGCGAGGAGGTATCGTTCATCTTGGTGCTGGCCACTGTCCGGGACATATCGCCTTTCCGCATGTACCGCATAATCTCCCCGTAGTCCTTCACCGTCACCTCGGTCAAATCCTTGACATACGGTCCCTCCGTCGGGGATTCGCGGATGCGGAGGTAGTGTGGGGGCTCCGTGCGCGGCACCAGCAAGTCACGCACATGCTCGTTGTAGACCTCAAAGTACGAGACGCGGACGTTGTAGCTGATATCCGGAGCTTCGGCGGTTTCAATCCGTTGGAACAGGTCCTCGCAGGTCCGTGGGATCAAGCCCGGCTGCTCTGACGTCCCCATCATGGTATAGCTCTTCCCGGAGCCCGTTTGCCCGTACGCGAAGATGCAGGTATGGTACCCCTCAAAGTTGTGGTCCAGAAACTCCTCTCCCAGACAGTTGTACACATCCTCCTGCGTCGCGTAATGTTTATCTTTGGTGTTGTGCGACCAGAACGAGTTGTCGAACACAAACGACTTATCCTCCTGGACCTTTCCGCGCGCCTGCGACTTGGGTTTCCCTTCGTCATCGGGATTGGATCGAGGTGCCCGTAGCTTGGTTGTCTGGGTGTGCGGGTCCATGGAGATCAGACATTGGGCTCTTCGCTCGATTTCTGGAGTTCATTGGGCAGTACCAGCCCGCGATCAGCTTCCTCACATCCTGCTTCCATCCGTGGACAGAGACATACCTCTAGGCAGAAAGGTCCGCACTCGGACAACAACGCGGACGTTCCCCCCGGGTGAGGGGCTGGAGAGACCATCGACTCGACGCGCCGCGACGGGAACGCTTTCGCGAGCACGCAGCGAAGGGCTCGAGGCGGTTGACCGTAGCATGGCCGCAGAAGCGGTCATCGCGTGGGAGGATGGGCTAGTGATGCCGGTGATAGCGGACATCGCAGATGACGTGACCGAAGCCGGGGAGCTGAGCCCGTTGCCGTAGCCGAGATGGCGGTAAACCCGGGGATCCAAGGCCATGTCGGAGCCGTGATCGAGTAGAAACTGCAAAAGCTGAGTGAGGTGCTCGCGCTGGCGTTGCAACAGGCAGTGATACATACGGGCAGGGCCAAACAAGAAAGACAACTGCGGTCAGGTCGTCACTGCTTGGTTCGTTGGGGGGCCCCCCGTGCACCGGATAAGTTGTCCTTTCCCGTGGGCAGGGAGATCCAATGATTTAGTAGCAGGCGCAATGCTCCGGGGGACTTTCGGGTTCGAGGTTGGTCAATCAATCGCACTTTGGTTCTAAACAACAATGATCGGCCGGTGGCATGGGTAGCTACTATGAAACGGAGTAGATTGTCAACAGTTCGGGATCGAATTGGGGGCTTCTGCGATGGAAAGTCAAAGAGAGAAACATGCAGCAAAGAACGCAAGGAGGTCGAAGACAAGACACACCCTCTCTGGAGAGTGAGGCGCAAGAAGGCGAAAGAGAGACAGTAACAGACAGTATGGACTTAGTAGCAATGAATGAGGAGGTCGCGATATGGAGAGGGACCGGACTCGTTTGGGGATGTCCCGATGGGGACTAGACTACAGCCTTAGGCCGCGGTAAGGCCATCTCCCCGGCTGCGGTTGCCATAGCAATTTATCCCGAGACCAAGTCTCTGGCCCATTTCCAAGTGCTGAGAGATGAGACAACTTAGAAGTGGATCTAGTCAAGGCAAGTCCATTGTGCTACAGTGGGTCAGAAGAGGAACCCCGGATGTTTGGAATCTTCGACATTCCGATGTTTCAATCACAACTAGCACAAGTGGTTACTAACATAATTCCAAACCAATTCAATTCAATTCATGTCATTTCATCTCATTTACACATGTCTCAATCGCATAGCATAAGGCTGACGCCGATAGACGCAGTCGCTAGTCGACTGTGCCTCTCACTGACCGTCCTTAAGACAGTCCTGATTCAAATCTGGGAGTTTAGTCGAAGTCATCGTTGGCCGCAGCAAACATGTCTCCTTCGTCCTGGCCTTGACTGCGGCCGCCTTTAGACGCCTTGCCCATCTTGTCACCGTCAACGTAGGAGATGGGATCAGGCACAGGGTTGCCGTCGCGGTCCATGGTGGTCTCGAACATTTCTTCCGGACTCCAATTGGCAGTGGGATCGTCTTTCTTCGAACCGCCGGCCTGATTCTGGGCGATTTGCGACATGCGCGAGGTGGTTTTAGCTTTTGAGGACTGCATGGTAGAGAATCGTTCTGTTCTCAATTAGTCGCAAATATCGTAAACCGTATACCCACAATGCAGTCGACAGCAGCACTCCTGAGACAGGATGGACAGCCAGCGTACCAGTGATGATACAGTTATTCGATATTGGTTCCAAGACTGATTGCACTAATTCTGGGTATGTCCGAGAGCCGGTCACGGTGGGAATCGAGGGGATTATATGGCCCACGGTGGCACAGATGATGCGACAATGACGCTGGGACTTGAGGGAGTGGCTCATGAAGTGGTTGCGAAGCTGATTGCTTCCCCGCAAATTGGTGAGGTCATGACGGGAGTTGGCGATGAGAGGTATTGGTTGCAGCCTCGGGCTGGCCACGACATCCCTCTGGTTCGGCTGTCAGTTCACGTCAGGTTCCACGGATAACTCCCTCCTTTTTATCCAACGCGAGTTCCATGGTTGAGCCGATGCCATATGGCTGACGGATTTCATTGTGTGGAGGATAACAGACGGGGTCGGGACGGACCAACGGATGTCACCAGCATATTCACGATAAGCAGCCAAGAATGCGGAATCCGCCGGAGGGCTTGGGGTTCGGAGGGTAGGATAGGAGAAGAGGAAGGCAGACAGGAGATAGGGCTATCGGTTGCAGGCTGCAGAGGGGTGAAGAAAACGCCGAGCCGTGCAGAAGCAATAATGGATAATTGGTGATCGGATGCTGATGCACGAGGGAGGGAGACTAGAAGGGACTATCGCTGTCGGTAGACCAGACTGCCCCGATTGCCACGCTCTCTTTCACCAGGTGGGCTGCCTCATGTTGATGGAGTGGAAAGTTCTGTGCGATGTGGTAGGAATGTATTGCAAACCTTGAAGTTGTGGATGGCACTTCTCACAGTCAGCCAGCTTACATACCATACAATCATTCGGACAGTGCAGTACAGGCCTGTACAGTACAGGACTGTACATGGACTGCATCCTCCACTTCAATTCAGCCCTATCCGACCGGGTGGATCGAATGAGCAACTGGCGGGATTCTCAGTGCTCATCCTTCGCCTCTGCTCTTCCCACTCTTCCCATCCCCATCCACCCGTTGTTTGACTCACGAAAACATCAATGCAGCGCCAAGAGAAACAGACTAAACGAGTCTGCACTCTGCAGTAGTGGACTAATGGCAATGGCGCAATCTGGACAATCCGCCCCGGTGAGTCTTGGGGTTGCCATTTGGTGAGAAGAGGCAGGGAAGAGACCAATCCGCGGGTCTTATCGTTTGGCCAAGATGTAACTAGTCATCGTGCGCCGAGAGACGATCTTCATCACTGTTCATGTTTTTTTCACTCTTTCTCGCCCAGGCTACCTGTCAGCTCCGGACTTTGCTCTGAACATTTTCTTCCGAGGCCGGTTGTCGGCGCCGCCGTCGATAAATACTGTGACTACCCCAGGCCCGGCGCCGGCGTTGTGCAGGCCCAATTTCCCGACTCTTCCTCTCTGTCCATATCAGTTGGTGGTATCAAGTCAGAAACTACTACCCCAAATCCCACTCATGGCGGAGAAGCCCCCAGTCTCGTCTACCCCCGAGGGGAGCGACCTCGAAGCCTCCGACCCGGAACCCCAGATGAAGAAGCTCACCTTCTCCCAGCGCTGGAACCAGAATGTCGACCCGAAGCACACCGACCTCATCTGTTTACTGCTGTGCTTCACCACGGGGCTCTGCGACAGTAGTGCATATAATGCGTGGTCGTGTTTCTTAGCCATGCAAACGGGTACGCCATCCTCCCTCTTACCTGCTCACCTTATCTTCCCCCTTCCCTCCTCCCCCTCTCCCCCTACTATCCCCTCACCCTAACTAACACCAATCCATTGCCCAGGAAACACCATCTTCCTCGGCCTAGGCGCCTCCAACCAACCCGCCAACAAACCGTGGGGCTGGCTGAAATCCCTCATGAGCATCGGGTGGTTCTTCATCGGGGCGCTGGTCTTCGCCAACCTGACGCGACGCAGCGGCAACCGCGCGCGGGGCACTCTGGTGCTCTCCTTCCTGGCGCAGACGATCCTGATCATCATCGCCGTGGCCATCATCGAGGCCGATCTGATCCCGCACACCTCGACGGACAGCAAGCTGACCGGCGGCCGGCTGTTCCTGGAGCTGATCCCCATCGCGCTGCTGGCGTTCCAGTCCGCGGGGTCGATCACCTCGTCGCGCGCCCTGGGCTACAACGAGATCCCGACGGTCGTGCTGACCAGCGTCTACTTCGACGTGGCCTCCGACCCCAAGCTGCTGCAGGTGCCCAACGGGAACGTGAAGCGCAACCGCCGGATCGGCGGGGTCGTGTTCCTGTTGATCGGGGCGATTGCGGGCGGGTGGTTGAGTAAGACCTCGGGCGGGATGGAGTCGGCGCTGTGGATGGCGGCCGGGGTGAAGTTGGTGATTGGGTTGGGGTGGTTGGTCTGGAAGGGGGAGACGAAGGGTTGAGTGAGGTCAAGGGGGGGGAGGGGGTAGCTGGCGGATTGAGTAATGTTGTGGTTTTGAGATATAGATGTGAATACAGTACATTGATAGAATTCCTACTTGGTTGATTATGTGTGTTGATTGAGTCAAAGTGTACTGTAGACTTGAGTTGCTGGTGGCAGACTATACTACCTACCTACCAATTCGTCCAAGAACCTCTCAAGAATGCAATTACTTAAACGGGCCACAATATGAAGCTATACATTATCCTATCTACACATGTCCACCCGTATCCCCACGTACAGCACCGGCCCTATAGTACTCATCACTCTATACATGCAACCTCCTTTAGAGTAAGTACCCTAACTTGAACCCCCCGCACCACACAACAGCTTCCCCACGCTTTAATCATGCTACCTCACTATTTCATCTAGTTATAATATGACGATCTGGGGGAGAACCCCCAGACCCCCCTTTCTTTCAACTTCTCAGTATCCTCAACCCCAAGGCCAAGTTATTATATAACAATCTGGGGGAGACCCCCCAGACCCCCCTTTCTTTCAACTCCCCAGTAACCCTATCCCCGAGTCCAAGTTATAATGTGACGATCTGGGGGAGAACCCCCAGACCCCCCTTTCTTTCAGCTTCCTGGTCACCACTCACCACTCACCCCTCACCCCTCACCAACAACCAGGACAACAACAGCGAAATAGAAACACCACAACCAAACCTCAACACACATACAAAATCTACGCCCACCACACCCCCTCAGCCACCAACACCACTAAACCGAAGTCCACCCAGAGAACCCATCCCAGCCAACCACCACAAGAGGGTCACGGGTACCAGTCCCCAACCTCAGCTGCATCCGGCTCTGGCCGCGAGCCTGGAAGGCGAATACCTAGTAGATGGGGTAACTGGCTGGATGCGGCACTGGCTTCCAGTTTCACTCTCCACCAGCTAAGTAAGTAGGTTTCCCTCCACCAATACTAGCGGGTACCGTCGGTCCCCACTTAAATTGCACCCACGCATTGAACTTTGAAGTCCCGATGACCCTAACCCTTCCCCACCTCCAACAGATCAAACCCCTCATCCCCTCCTCCACCACCTCCACCACTGCACTGCACTGCACTACGCATGTAGCTTCTAGGAAGACAATAGAAAAGACAATAGCACAACCACAACCCCAATCCCACTCAACTCCTCACACTCAACCCCATCAGAGATCAAACACTACCCAAGTACAGACAGTAAGTTAATGTACAACAATCCAACAAAGACCCCAAAATAACCACCCTACATCATCACCACCACCACACCCAACCCAGAATCCAGTACCCAGCAAGCATAAGAATCAACGTCATCCAGACCCAAACAAAAGAGCCAACCCGCCTTCCCTCAATCTACAAACATAAAAATCTCAGTATGTACATACCAGACAATAACCGTGCATGCATAACACGCACACACCCAGCATTCCCGTCCGTCACGTGGACTCACATTCTCCGAGATCATACATTCCCACCCATTCTCGTACGAGTACAGCACAGTGCAGTACTACTAGTATGTCTACGCACATACCCTGGAAACAGTATGACCTCGCCAACCGCCTACCGCCTACCGCCCACCATCCACTATGTACTGTACTATATTGCAGTACGTGAGAAGTGCATGTCTTGTCTTGCAGAGCAGGATAAGTACAAGTACAAGTACAAGTACAAGTAGGTGGGTGGGAGGTGGTAGGTACAGCCACTGTAATCATTTCCATTCCCACATGGTCAACTTCGCCACACGAGGGCGCGGAGGAGGGGGGGGGGCGCCGGCCATGCGTGCATGCATGCATGCCATGCACGAGAGAGGAATTCTGCAGGCTTGAATGAGGCCCGGGGGGAACTCTTTCCGAGCATTCCTTTGCATTCTGTGAGTATGCATCCTATATGGGCTTGCTCTTGCTCTCTGGGTTTATGGCGGGGTTCGAGGGACAGGGGCTTTGGGTCATTGGTGTTGATGTATACGTAGGCAGGAAAGGGCTCCTGTTAAGGCTGAGGGCCCGTGGCTGAGGGCAAGGGCTGAAGTGCTGGGATGAAGGGCTGGGCTGAAGGGCTGGGCTAAACCCAAGGCGAGAGCATCACCACGACGGCGGGCGCAGCCACAGCCTTCTTGGTGTGACCTACGTAAGCAGACTAGAATCCTTATGATCACATTGCGACCCTTCAAAGGAATCATTGTATCAGTTGTATACTGTACTATATGTCTATCAACGGTGAAAGATTGTAAATGTAGGCTAAGGTGTCTAACCCCGCCAGTCCCACAAAAAAAGAATGATTCAACCAGCAGTCCCGGGGCGAAACAGTGATCGCAGAATGGTATCATCAAAAAGACAGATCGAAACGAAGAAAAAAGCCCACAGGTATCGCAGCAGCAACAAGCAGCGGAGTTCGCAGTTACGCCGTGTGAAACTGAACAAGGCACGCCAAAGGAAAACAAATCCCCAGCCCAGAAATTAGAAGTCATGCTTGAAAGCTTCGAAAACAAAAAAGGCAATTCCAGAACGCAACCAGAAAAAGAATTCGCGTAAGAATGATAGACGGGACTGTTCACCCTGAAGATGCACCAATAAGATGGAGTCACCAAACGCGCTGAAATGCAAGCCGGCCATTAAATCCAAGCAGTGTAAGTCGGCAACAACTGCATATGTATCCTGTAATCCTGCGTAATGCGGATAGTGCTGTCAAAAGCTCCCGTGTAAAAACCAGAAAAAAAAAACCAAAACAAACAAATCAGATACTGCTTTTGAGAGTCGTAGTCGCAGTCGCAGTAGAAAGAAACCTAGGCAGCCGACGGGCGACGGAGAATCTCTTCGCAGTTGGCGTCAAACCGCATGTTCCACAAACGGATGCTGTTCATCAGCTTCTCCGTACTCTCCAGCTCGCGATCCCGGCCAAAGATCGTCTCCACAAACTCACAGCCGGCATTGCGGCCCATCGACACAGAGCCCTTGCCCCCTTCGCGCTTGGCCGCCTTCCACATGAACTGCTCACAGGTTTTGAGCAGCTTCTTGAACCGCGCCCACAGGCGTTCCCCACTCTGCAGGAAGTCCTCCACGACCTCCTGCGCCTCGGGGCGCCGGATGCGGTCGAGACATTCGTCGGCTCTCTTCACCTTCCCGGCCAATTTGATCAACAGCAGCCACAGGTCGCCCGCCACGTCCGCCATGGGCGTCGAGGCCCCATGCGTGAACACGGTCCAATCGTAGATCCACTTGCCCAGTGAGTTCGCGTCGAAGACACTGCCCAGAAGAATGATCGGCATCTCCGTCGGGTCCCAGTTCTTGATCGAGTAGCCCGGGGGGATCCCTGCTCGGGCAGCGTCGGCTTCTGTGGCTTTGGGGGCCGGCTTGGAGGTGGGAGCGGACGGCTTTGGCTTGTTGGGCGTGCGGGTGGAAGTGGATTGACGGCGCGCCCGAGATCGCTTGGCCGCATCAGCATCTTCTTGGGCAGGCACCTGGTTATAGTAGAAGTATTGATCAGTGGGTGGCTTGGGCTTGCGGTGAGACGTCGACGGTTTGCGACGCGGAGGACTGGGTTCCTCGCGGAAGACGTATCGCGGCGCATCACCGTCGGATCCATCGTCGACCACATCCACAAAGATGGGCCGGGTGTGCGACGGGTGCGACGGGTGGGCGCCGGCATGCTCCCAAGGGCCCGCCGCTGGGGCCCCGGACATGGTGCTGCGACGGCGAGAATAGCCACCAAAAGAAGCACTTACAGGATCGTGCTTGCGCGGTGGCGTGCCATATTCAGGCATCGCTTCGTAGAACCCTTGCCCATACCCAGCATACCATCCGGCGGTTTCTTTGGGACCGGCGTAGCTGGCTTTGCGATTGTGACGCTTCGAAGGGCCGCGCGGCGAGCCGTAAGCATTGGCGAAGGGGGAAGCGTAGTAGGCGTAGTGAGGAGACGTGGGAGGAGAGGTCGTATAGTCGTAGGACCACCCGGGAGGGGGAGTGGTGTAGTGATACATTATCGAGAAACGTGCATAGGAATTCGAATCACGCTGGCAATCAAAAACAGGTCGTGGACGAGAGAACTTTTCGAACGTAGGGGATAACCTCCCGATCGCGAGATATTAAAGGCAAGAACAGAAACAGCACAACCCAGATGTATTATACAGGATATCGTAGCAACAAGCCGATCGACGCCGAAGCAGGGGACAACGAAATCGGAAGATTGATGGGAGAGAACCGTCACCGTGGTGCGGTTTCTGAGGGAGAGGAGGGATAGAGCTGTATGTGCCGAGAGTGCATTTGAACGTCGTTCGCTCTATCGAACGCTGAATGGGCGAAGTCGTTGAAGGCGGCTATGCAGAGAAGCAACCTGTGGTCCCTAGAAGACTCTATCGGAGTCCGCGACAATAGTGGCGAACAAGCGCAGGCAGCGGTTGAGACTCGCTTGAATCGCTTAGACTTCGTTCATCTAACCCAGATTATTGTTGTTGTTGTTGTTGTTGTAGAGGTTGAACCCGAACAGGGTGTATGAATGGTAGATGGATGGATAAATGATTTCAAGGGGGGGAGTCCAGAGGGAGTGGAGGAGACAACCGGTTTTGTAACCACGGGACAGAATTGCAAGGGTGGACTTGGTGGACTTGCGAGTGGGGGCTGCACCAGTGGTAATTTTCTGCGGCGGAGCCACTAGTCTCTTGTGTCTTAGTCTCGCTTTGGGGGTGGAGGCAGCAAAAAGTGACCTCTCGCGTTCGTTCCCGTTTCGTTCTCGGCTTTACAATACCGTATCTTATGTGGTGGTGGTGGTGATGATGGAGGGAGGGATGGGTGCCTTGGGCGCGTTTCAGGCCCAACAAACTCCCACTCCCAAGAGGGAGGGAGGGAGGGAGAGAAAGGGAGGAAATGGAACGGAATGGGAGGGGAGGAAGAAACACCAAACTGAAACCAGAGTGATGCTGCACTGGGTTTTAGAATTTGCTGCTGCTGCTGCTGCTGTTGCTATGAGAAGAAGAAGCTGATCACCTTCCAGCTCATTTCCAGAGTCATCACCCACTACACCCTCTTTTCCAGAATCCCACCAAGGTGATCAGGTGGAGAGTACTGCTCCCTTATATACACTTCCAAGGAGGGGGGAATGGATGATTACATGAAATTGAATGAATGAAATGCGCAGAATTGCCGCCCACATTGTGCACTGCGGTCACTCTCCATGCCTGCCACTCGCTGACTCTTACTCATCATGGCGACAGGGCTCCCGTGGGACAGAGTCATCTGAACAATCCCTCTATTAACTTACTTGCTACTAGGTAGACATACGATCAATCCCCTGTTGGGCATCCCCTCTCCCCTCCCATCCTGATTGACGTTGCTGAAACAAGACGAAGGAAGAACAAGATGTTTGTTGCCGCAACAGAGCAGAGCAGAATCCGCCCCTCCACTCATTCGCGTCAACATGGCCGTACATGGCGAACAGTGAGATGTTCGAACCCTCATCACCTTGTAGATAAGAGTCACGCTCTGCGTCATTGGCTGGACGCCTCGTCCAACATGGCTGGGGATTTCCCGCATGGCATCCGATGTACGTACATTACCCTACCGTTGGAGCCTGCAGGCAACGCGATGGAGCTGGCGAGCCGATCCAGTCGATAGTCCTTCATTCAGTAGTCCGGTATGCCAATGAGTCAATGAGTCATGGAGAGATCACATTGCCACGGGTGGCTCAGTCATAATCGTCGAGTAAGTTAAGCGTTGATAATAATAGTCAGCCATCTCTTCTCAGCATCAGCCCCAAGGCTTCTATATTCAACTGCAGGCAGGCTGTGGCGAAGATGACGCTGTCGCGCAACCACCAAGTCTTATAACTTGGTGTCACATCAATAGATTGACGAAAAATTGCAAAGGATCGAAAGTACGTGGGATCGATTAGTCGATTGCTGTTAATAGAGATAGTCCGAAGCCACTACTGCTGTAAGATCCTGTAGAGCGTCTTATCGTTTGGGTTGGTTTGGTTCCATGGACAGCGGGTGCGGATGAGCCCGTCAACCGGTCGACAAACCATGGATACATAACTCCAGGTAGGCAGGCATTTCCAGCCCGGTGGAACCAAATGGCATGGATATCTCCTGTTGTGGCCACGAGCACTAGTGGTGTAGTGTAGTTGAGTTAAAATGTTGGGCAACTTGGGTGTTTCTTTTGGTTATGGTGGATGGGCGTTACCGCTGCCGCCCAGCAGCTGGGCAGCAACCACCCATACGGTTGGACAGACCGCAATTTGCACAGTTGAGCGCGGGAGTCTAAAAAAAAAGGACCCTCCTTTCACAATTAATTCTCCGGCCGGGCAGATCCCTGATTTTCCTGCTTTTTCTTTTTCGAGAAGAAAAAAGAAGCAAATAAACAGGTGTGAAGTTCGGATGGAAAAGGTATCTGAGTTGAGACCGGGGCGATTGGAAACTGCAAACAGTATCCTGTGTTGTACTGTGCAAAGTACTCCGCGTACTCCAGACTCAGAATCTCGCTTTCTGACAGGCCTGGTCGAGGCGCGAATGTGATAGGGCTAAGGGCGCTTCCCCCCCCCCTTCCATGCAGGCTGGACCGCAAACGAGGGTTGCAAAATCGCAGGTCACAGTGCACTACACTACCAAGAAGAGTAACTTACAGTACTTCTTCCCTTCTGCCCCACCATGATTTGAGCCATGGCTTAGTGACTATCTTAATATCAATC